AATGCACTCCAGTGGCTGGTGGACCATCTGCATGGTGGTTGTGGCATCTAGCCGCTTTTGCGGCCACCATGGCTATTGTGGTGGCTCTAGTGGGCCACTCACATGGAGGTGATGTTTTTGGCATGCTCCTTGGTGCTGGTGGTGTGCCTAGTTGTGGGGAATGTCTGGTCCCCAGCTCCAAACCTTGGGTCCCCTTGTGGTCCCTGAGGCACTGGCATGGTGTGCCTGGTTGTGGGAGGGGTGTCTGGTCCCTGGCTCCATACCTTAGGTCCCTGAGTGGGTTCCAAGGTGCTGGCATGGTGTGCCTGGTTGTGGGAGTGGGGGTCTGGTCTCCAGCTCTATGCCTCAGGTACCCAGGCAGGACCTGAGGTGCTGGTGCAGTGCCTGGTTGTGGGAGGGGGTTCTGGTCCCAAGTTCCATATTTTGGATCCCTGGGTAAGCCCTGAGGCACTGGCATGGTGTGCCTGGTTGTGGGAGGGGGGGTCCAGTCCCTGGCTCCATACCTTGGGTCCCTGGGTGGGTCCCAAGGTGCTGGCATGGTGTGCCAGGTTGAAGGAGGGTGGTCCAGTCCTTTTCTCCATGCTCCAGTCCCCCAGGCAGGCTCTGAGGTTCTAGTGGTGTGAGTTGTTGTGGGCGGGGGTCCTGTCCCTANCCCCAGGCAGGCTCTGAGGTTCTAGTGGTGTGAGTTGTTGTGGGCGGGGGTCCTGTCCCTAGCTCCATGCCTCATGTCCCCTGGTGGGCCCCAAGGCACTGGTTGTGTGCCTGGGCTGGAACTAATTTTTTGTCCTTTGCTTACTTGTAACACAGGGGAACTTCCTGTGGGAACCAGTACTTGAGCTGTGTTGAGCTAAATTGCTGCTTTGCTGCTGTTTCCCCAGGGAAGGCTTTTTGAGCAGTTCAGGGTTGAACGGTTGACCTTATAGGTGCTTCTGGCTCTCCAGAGACCCAGTGCACCTGGGTTGTAAAGAAACTCTGATCTGGGCCTGAGTTGTTTTTTTTTTTTTTATCAAACTACACCCCATGCAGTCCTGCATTCCTGACAACTCTCCTCTGAGTGGTCCTGTGCTGATTGGGGGGTGGATCGGCTGTCTTTGCTGTGTCCCAGTGTTCTCCTGGTAGGCCCATCTCCCCCACCACCCGTGCTCCAAACCCTTCCCATGGGATGGGTCCTGCACTGGTCCATTTTGTTGACTCACTGGCCTCTGAATGGCTCCCTTTTTTCAGCTGTTCTGGCTCCTCACTCCTGCGAGGGTCCACGGGATCCCTATTAGTGGTCTTGCTGACCTGGTGGGCACCAAGGTCCTCTTCTCCCCTGCTACCTCCAAGTAACTCCATCCGAAGGGCATAGCTGCAGCTCCTACTCCATGCACTCAGCAACTCCAGCATTAAAGTGGCCATGGCCTGAAACACTGAGAGCCGATTTTTCTTTCTCTCATCATGGCTTCTCCTGCCTTCATGAACACTGTAGGCCTCTCCTCCTCTTCCCCTGAGCTCCAGTGGCCCCAGCTTGGCTGATGTTATATTTTTATAGTTGCAAATTGGTTGCTTCGTGGGAGAGAGTGATGCTGGGGACCGTCTATTC